TTGTTTGTTTGCTTGAGACCAAGACTTAAACAATACAGACGAACAGCCTATAATATAGACCTAGAAATCTACATGTAGGCTGATTAGATCTACTATTTATTGTTTGGTCTTTTTTATGTTCTTCAAATTTGTATTTTTGGGGGGTAGAATTTGAGTGAAAGCTTTTCGCCAGGAAGTATAAGATTACATTTTACATTGTGTCAAACAGGATGAGTCAAACAGACTCAAACTGGCTGCTTGCTGAAGGCAGGCTTTGATCATTAGGAATGATCAAAGGGAGAGCACAATTAATAAAAACTGCAGACTTTTTCAGGGTGGTTTCCCTTGGCTAGAGCTGTTTTTGTTTCATATTTCATAACTTCATAACAACAATGGCTGTCTGACCTGGGTGGGGGACAAACCAAGCTAATTTCGAAAGTAGGAACGGCAGCTGCTGGATTTGTCTGTCTTTCGGCTGTTTTACTGAGAGACGATGACATTCACGAGCTGGTCCGAATAATGTTTCGATTTTGCCGTTGCCACTGCTTGAGAGGGTCGCCAAGGACTACATTTTCAGACCTTCAGCCATCGAGCAGTTCAGCAGTGGCTCCTGGCAATACAGACCTTTCTTCACCATCAACTCCCAGCTATTGCAGCTGGAACGTACCTCATTCCTCGATGGCCACCAGCCCAAATCTGGCCTTTTATGCAGTTACCAAAAAGTCTGCCCTGAATTTGTTTTCTGTATACAAAGGAGCACCATTCTTTCACTGTCCAAATCCTCGTAGATTTATTACCATCCTGTCCAAAGCGAACCACTATGAAGTGTTGGGGGTGGAACAAAATGCTACTGGGAATGATATCAGAGCAGCATTCTTGAAGCAATCAAAGGAATGCCACCCGGACTTGAATAGGAAAGATCCAAACAACCATAAAAAGTTTGTACAGGTCAATGAAGCTTATTCTGTATTAAGCAAACCTTTGTCTCGTCGTGAATATGATTTGTCTTTAGCAATGAGAACTGCTACGGATGGTGTGAAATCTAACAGCAGTGGGCGGGATGGTAATCCTTACTATCACCACCCAGCTCACTTCTATGATGAGAAACTTTATTCCATGCGGGACAAGTCTAAAGATGAGTACTACAAGAGTCAACCTTATTATGGAGTCAAAGGAATTGAAAAGATTTCGAACATGCAAATTGTTACAGGCTGTATGATATTCATGCTGTGTGGAATAGTGCTTCACTTTGTGGCTGTGAAAAAATCTTCAGACCTCCACATTAAAAACTTGGATGCAAGAGATGTCAAAACTCATGAACTATGGATGAATGCGAAAAAGAATGCGGAAATGTACACATCTAAAGAACAGACTGAAATATGGATGCAAAGAGCAGCTGAAATTCGGGCAAGCAAAGGCCCTCAGTAATAATTCTTTGAATGTGACTAAACAATAGGTTACACCTTAATTTTTATAAAGTTTTAGTAAGGTTTTTACGGAACTAGAGCTGTTAACAGCATATTATAAAAAGGTCATATATGATGAGCCCTTTAAGAACCTTTTCATTTTGATGACTGTAAAAGTTCAGAATGCCTTCTACTTCTAAAAAATGAATTACAAGTAGGCTACCGCAGAAAAATCTTCAACTTCAGGAAAGTTTCTGTCTTACTATTCCGAGTAATTTAAAGTTTTAGATTGTCCTTGAAGTTGCTTTCATAGCAATGTAGTTTTGTCTCCTTCACTGAAGAGACTTGGTAAGTTAAGTCCTGGTGTCTTCTTGATGGGTCTGTTGTTGAAAAATGGGAAAATTAGAGTTAAAGTGTTTGTAAAGGATGAACTTAGGGATGTATTGGTCTCTGTGCATGATTTTGATTTCTGAGCCTCAGAAAAGAGATGTTTTTGGTGATCTTAGCAAATGATTAAAGGGTTTTTTATTATTTTGTTGGGAAGAAGGAAGGTGGTTTTGTACTTTGGTTTTGGTTTCATCTTTGAGAACCAGTGTTTGTGAATTTTAGAGATAAAATTAAGATTTCAGAAAAAATTAAAAACTGGAAGGTGCCGGTTCAGTTGATAGTCTACCTTGATGTTTCTGGTTTACTTGAAGGTCTATTCTGCTGTAACCAGACCAACATTTTTTCTCACAAGTGGGGTTGTAACTGATGAGGCTTTTGGTTTAGTAGCAAATAAAAGAAAATTTGATACTGTACCAAAAATGAAAACAGGCGTTTCGTCAATTTACAGCAGTTTTGCCGGATCAGTCTGACAACTATTTTACTTGTTCACTTGAACTGAGGGGGAGGACTTCTTGTGACAAGAATCAGTTTACTTTTATCCTCTCTGTGTTTGTACAGGCTGGGACCATCAGTGGCTGTATTAAAAATGTTTTGATGGTTGTGGTTTGTCTAGGGGGAGATAGCGGGCTGGTCCCCTGATTTCTTGAAAATTTGAAATATAGTCCCATTTAGTCACTTGCTGTCACGTCTTGTCAATTTGATAAATTTAAATCTTTACCATTGCAAAATTCTGTGATCTACTTGACACAGCAATTGCCTTTGCCTTCGATCTAAATGCCCCCAGCACTGTCGTTACCGTAGCCAATCAGCGAATCACAGTATACTGTCAACCAAACCAGCACCAAATTTGTAATTTTAAATGGTTTAATTAAAAATGAAATAGTCTACAAATGATTTGAAATTAAAATTTAAATCACATTTTTAGTGTGTATGTCTGCTGTGGTGCACCATGCATCTCAAACAGTCTCAAGAGTAGAGACTTTCTCTTCCTTTTCATTAGGAGTGGACTTTAATTTAATTGTGTTTTGGTTTATTAGGGTATCATGTTTGTTTTAAATTTTAGGTACGATTGTTGTGGTTGCTTCAGTGCTTGTCTGTGAACAGCTAAGACAACTTAGTATGTATATATATAATATATTATAATGTGTAAACTCCTGCCTACCAAGAGGCTGATAATTGATGGTTTTCAATTTTATCACTACAGTTGGTACTGTAGTATTCGCAGACTCAGGTGTACTGTTGAAGTGTAAATAAAGCCAGTCAAATGCAGTTTTTTCCTTTCTTTTGTTTGAAAACAGAACAATTATAATGTTTGTGGGTGTCTCTGTAATTTTCATTTTTTCCCCTCTGACTTTTCCTTCATAAAGTTTTATTAGTTTGTTCGTGATGCATGTATATGCACAAAAAGTAAAAGGAAGAAAGACGACTGTAATGGTCAGAGTCGTGCCAGTGATTATGGATTTCGTGTTTATTACGAAACAAGCTTGCCATTCTTTGGCCAAGCGTTTGAACAATACGGAGGCCAAACGCAATGTTGCCATAAAAGAAATAGTAGACCTTTTAGTATTCCCACAAACAAACATAATTTCAATGTATGCACATGTTTCTTGCTCAGCAAAAGACAAGTGATTCTGGTCCGAACCCAAGAGGACGTTCTAGTCTGTATAGTTTCTTCAACTATCCACCAACTTGTCTTGGTCCTATATTGGAGATGGGTGTTATAGTACATCTCAGGTCCCACCTCTTCATCGACGGTCTAACTGTATTGCTAGGGAAACATGTACTGTGGAAACCTGATATAACAGGGATGGTGGGACCAGAGAAAAGTCCTGGTTGTATCAAATCCCTGATAAATCAGAAATGCAAGGGAAGTAAACGTTTGTGCACTAATCCAGTTGTATTTATTCATAGGTAGTTTCCCTTGCCACAAGTGCCGTGTGGCAGGCCTGCCCGTGTGCATGTGGCTAGGCTTACGGATAGATCGAAGTCTGCAGCACACCGCAGCCCTCTCTCGCTTCACCCATTGCATGTGCTTGCTCCATCACTGCGTTACTCTCTCTCTCTCTCTTTCTCTCTCTCTCTCTCTCTCTCTCTCTCTCTCTCTCTCTCTCTCTTTCTCTCTCTCTCCCTCTCTCTCTCTTTCTCTCTCTCTCTCTCTCTTACTTTTTATACATTGTTAACGAGTCTTTGTCCCTGCTAACCAATTGGGCTCCTATGAGGACCTGCTATTGCCGATAATTTTTAATAGAGACAAAGAGTAGGAAAAAATGAGGATGTAAAAAATCCCTGTTATTATCGGATCCCTGTTATTTCTGGGCCTGTTATACGGGGTGCCCACTACGAATGGAATCGGCCGTTCGTGCCGATCGCCCGACTCGATCACTTCAAAAACAAACGTGTTTGTTTTCAATTTCAGGTGATCAAGTCAGGCGATCGGCCCGATCCAGCCGTAGTGGGCACCCCATATTATGGTTTCCATTGTACATGTATTTCTATTACACAAGTAATGTGCCTGCCCAAACTTGTCCTATTTTTCATTGTTCAACTTTTCTCTTTATCCTGTCTGTATAAATTTATTTCCCTACTGTCACTGTCACTGATCTCATAATCCACGAGGATCTTAGTCTTAGTAAAAGTTAGTAGAGGCGCTGTATGACAGAGAATTTCATCAGGTGCCTCCCTCCATTTTTCTCTTTTTTTGTGTGTTTGAGCGCTTAAGAGTTTGGGCGAAGGATTTCCCTGTCTTCTCCACAATGTAGTCAGTCCACAATCTCAGTCAATAGATTCTCTCTGGTGGCCTTTATTTTTATCGGAAATGTTTACACCCCCAATTTAGATCATTTAGGAAATGGGCTCCTTCCTGCAAACCACGGTGGAGTGGGATGTAACATCCCAGCAAACAGATGGTGATAGGCCCTACTTGATAAAAACTTCTCCACTCTGGAATCAAACTCACATCTACTTTGAAGGAGATATGTGAGGCATTGTGGTGAAATCAGGCGTTCTTCAAAATTATGAAATTAAAGGTACAGGCATTTTTCTGCCTGAATCAGGAATTTTTAATGAAATTTTTGTTTTTTGGCTCAATACCTTTTATGCCCTTTATATGAAAACACATTCCCATGTAAATTTTATTGAAAAACATTTATTAAAGGAACCAAAAACGTAATTTTTCAGTTTCAGGACTCTCAAACTATATATTGAAGTTACCACACTTTGCCCGCCATTTTCTAGATAATTTTTCCATTGAAACCAGGTGACCCCACCTCCTTCAATTGCAAATATCTCGACTTCTATTCAAGGTGGATGGGTATTTTTTTCCTTGAAAGCAAGGTCAATGAATAAGCTTTCAGATGATACCAATAACTTCACATGCCCAAAAATTGACGAGCGCCTGATTCCACCACGTCGTGACACATATACTATCATATAGATCCTCTGCACCGCAAACACTGAATTCAATAGCTGCCCACTCCAGGTTAGTTGAATGAGGTGAATACATAACAATGCAGTGACCGAATACTTGGTCAGTGTTGAAAGCAAGAAGTCTTGCCATACAGAAATAGAGAATGTGCATTTAGCCTTCAATTCTGCACACATACTACTAGTAGCCCACTCCAGAACTCCGATAGACTTATACTTTATAATTGTACCGTAAATGTTTGACTTCCGTATCAGTAGGCTACTGTACAATTTATCGTATATGAGAGAGGCTGCTTCGAACCCATATGTCAGGACCAATCTGCTGGGTGTAAGAATGGAGAATTCCTCAGAAAAGAATAAGATACTAGAAATACAGTGGAAACCTGATATAACAGGGATGGTGGGACCAGACAAAAAGTCCTTCTACTTCTATATATATATATCAGATCCCTGTTCAACAAAATCAGAAATGCATGGGAAGTAAGCATTTGTGGACTAATCCAGCTGTATTTATTCATGGGTAGTTTCCCTTGCCACAAGTAGGCCTACCCACGAACAGCACACCGCAGCTCTCTCTTGTGGCCATGTAGCAGGCCTCAGGCCTCTGCATAACACATTACGCGTGCGTTAGACCGAAGTCTTCAGCACACCGCAGCCCTCTCTTGCTTCATCCCTGTTATTACCGGATCCCTGTTATTACAATGTACCAGGCCTGACTGTCATGTAATAATTTATATATGGTTTCTACCGTAAATAATTTCCCATTTAGGAATCAAAATCAGGTCTTCTGCCTACAATGGTGAAGAATCTAACCACTACACCACAGATGCCTGTTCTGTTTTCAGAGTTCAAATCCTAAGAACCACCTAGCATAGTGTGATATAGCGGTCAGGCACTTCACTGTTGCTTGCAGGAGATCCGAGTTCGATTCCTAAGTGGGAACTTTAATTGAGTAGCCTATTTTGGTTTTTCTGCTGGGATGTTGTATCCCTCTCAGCCCGGGCTAACCTATCCCTGACACTGACAGGCAGGGCCGGAGGTGGAAGCCTGAACCTTAATGGTCTAAATTGTAGGCTACTGATGGGGCAGTAAAAACACCCAAGCTATATGTATAGGCCTATATATTAAAAAGAAAGGCCCTAAGATGAAAGTTAGTATTCCAATAACTACAGATTACTGTGGAGTGGGCCTACAGAATCATACAAATGTCTTTTTTTCTTACAAGGACTGACTGGAAAATGAAAATCTGTCTTCTTTTCACAAGATTTATTATTATTACACACACACACACACACACACACACACACACACACACACACACACACACACACACACACACACACACACACACACACACACACACAAACACAATAATATATACACACACACATATATATATATATATATATATATATATATATATATATATATATATATATATATATATATATATATATGTATATATATATTTATATTTATATATTATAATATATTTATTTTATAGATATGAAGTTGAACATGACTATAGCGGCACCCGCTGCAGCAGGACCATCCCTACAGCGAGACTTAACCTGTAGGCGGGCTCCAAACAGGCAGTCAGCTGTGCGGCATTGTAATTGGCCAGTCCAGTGATGAGTGATGTGGGGCAGGCGCAGAGAGAGATGGTACAGAGAGACATGTTACGTGAGCCACTCCAATAGTGATAAGCTGTAGTTAAGGCGCTCAGCTGAGTATGAGGGTGTATAGGCCATAACCCTTGGCCTAGGCTAGGCCAAAAGGAAAAAAAAAGAGAACCTGTAGTGTGTGATTCCTGATTCATTGAATTGCGATCGTTGATGCTCATAAGCATACCCACGCATCCACTATACCGATACCAGTTCTCCAGTAGGCCTAACGTAGGTACGATAGCCAGCACAAGCAACAAGGCCCAGGAAAAGCATTGGTTCATAACAAAGACAAAAGAAAGTGCCTCTCACTCGAATTAAAGGCCGAGATGATCAACAAAGTTGACAAGAAAGAGAAGACTAATCTAAAGCGCAATATTTTTTTGATGTGGGAGGGAGGTAATCGTGTGGATTTTTAGAATGTTTAGGTCATTTCCCCTTTGCATTCCTATAGCGGGAACTCTCCCTGAGCGGGATTTTTGTTCTGGAACCAAAAGTCCCACTAAGCCATGTTTACTGTATATATATATATATATATATATATATATATATATATATATATATATATATATATATATATATATATATATATATATATATATATGTGTGTGTGTGTGTGTGTGTGTGTGTGTGTGTGTGTGTGTGTGTGTGTGTGTGTGTGTGTATGGGTTTTTTTATAGTAGAGGGTTTTACGGCGCTCGCAACTGCAAAAGGTCATATGAGCGCCATATGTGTGTGTGTGTGGTGTGGTGTGTGTGTGTGTGTGTGTGTGTGTGTGTGTGTGTGTGTGTGTGTTTATGAGAGATAGTAGATAGACAGAGAGAGAGAGAGAGAGAGAGAGAGAGAGAGAGAGAGAGAGAGAGAGGGAGAGAGGGAGAGAGAGAGAGTGGGGGGGGGCGAGAGCTAGAGAGGCAGGGTGGCAGAGGCAGAGAGAGAGAGAGAGAGAGAGAGAGAGAGAGAGAGAGGAAGAGAGAGAGAAAGAGAGAGAGAAAGAGAGAGAGAAAGAGAGAGAGAGAGAGGGGGGGAGAGAGACAGAAATAGAGAGACACACAGAGAGAGAGAGAGGGGGAGAGAGACAGAAATAGAGAGACACACACAGAGAGAGAGAGAGAGAGAGAGAGAGAGAGAGAGAGAGAGAGAGAGAGAGAGAGAGAGAGAGAGAGAGAGAGAGAGAGAGAGAGAGTTGGCACACACAGTTGTGTTTTTCAGATTGCCAAAAGTGTACACACGTCTTTCTTCGTACTATCCTTATTTTTTTAGTCGCTACTGAATCACTGGGACCCTTCAACACCCCCTCCCCTTTAATTTTGTTTTCATCCACTCACTCGCTGCATGTCTATCATACCCAAGTGTGTGTGTGTATGTATGTGTTTGTGTGTTTGTGTGTGTGTGTGTGTGTGTGCGTGTGTGTACGCGCGTGTGTGTGTGTACATGTGTATGTGTGTGTGTGTGTGTGTGTGTGTGTGTGTGTGTGTGTGTGTGTGTGTGTGTGTGTGTGTGTGTAGTGTATGTGTGTGTATGTACTTTGTGTCTGCTCACGAGCGTGTCTTCGTTTGTTATAACGGCCCACCACTCATTTCAAGAATTTGATCAGCTGCAACAGGGAGCATAAAACAAACGTCCTTTCCTCTCTCCTCTGCTCAAGATGCCTCTTTTGTGCTTTTTTTCCCCTGTGAGGACAAGGTGTTCAAGGGTTGTTTTGTTGGTTGTTGTTTTTTTGGTCGATTTTAAAAGTGTCCAAAAGTTTATAGAAATAACTGCGTTAAATTAAAAATAATTAGGCCTAGCCTTATACTTATACATAATTTGTTGTCTATGTCTGCAAAATGAGCGTGGAAATTAACAAAGAGAACGATACATGATGTATCGATTCCACTAATATAATATCGAGATAGATTTTTACCCTGAGTTATCTCGACATGAAACAATATGTCGGTCCCACTAGTAAACAACTTCGAGGTCCCCTCATGGTATGTTTTGCACCTTATTTGATAAACTTCTGTAATTTCTGAACGTTAAAGGCCACGTTATACCTCCCTACGCATGATTCGTGTTCTTTGCACTTGAATATGTTGTACTCCCAAAAGACTTGCAGTTACATGCGTAGAGATCAAGTCTGGCAGTCAGTCGACGCGTTCTAGAGATATATCTAGAAATCTAGATCTAAAAATCTAGAATCTATCTTTTCTCAACAGTGACATCAGACTCGGACATCAATGTCAATTAACATTCGAAGTGAAACGTGAAAGTGCTAACAGTGCTATGTTGGATTAACTGTTGAAATTTAGATAGATCTAGTTCATTTTCTTTCGAAATTTTGGGAAGACTTCCATAGAATAGAGGGGTGGAGATAGGGTTTGGAGTTTGTTGGGTTAGCCTGGTTTATATGGTAGTATTGGTAGGCTAGGTTTCGTCTTTGTTGATGTTGTTGGTCGGGGTGGTCGCTTGTTACAGAAGTCCATCCGAAATTTTGTTGGCCTTGCACAAGAATTTTGTTCATATATCTAGATCTAGGTCTACGCATTCACCACTCAGTCTCTCTCCTCATTATTGTCACTTCAGCAACGGATTAATTTCTCATCAGTCTCAGTGGCGCCGCAAGGTAAAGTCAGTAAAGTGATCAGACTGAAGTAGCCTACGATACATCCATACATCAACATGTTGTCATTGTTGTCAATGTTGTAAAATCCTCTCATCATGTTCTCATACCAAAAGTCTGTTTAGGACAGGCTAAAAAATAGGAAGAGGCTAGCCGTACTTAATGACGGCTAGACTGACCATTTACAAAAAATAGGCCTACTGAATTGTAAATATACATTTTTAGTGTGCAGTACCTAAAGTATTTGTATTTGAGACAAAACCAGGTTCCTTAATGACAGTGCATGTATTTTAAACCTCCTGTTTTCTAATGTAAATAGGGCCTAAGATAAGTACGGCTAGACTGGCAGTCTAGCCGTACTTAAGTACGGGTAGACAGCCAGGCTAGCCGTACTTAAGGACGGGTAGACAGCCAGGCTAGCCGTACTTAAGGACGGCTAGACTGTCAGTCTAGCCGTACTTAATATTGATGGCTGAATTGTAAATGAAAATTTTAGTTTGCAATGCCTAAAGTATTTGTATTTCAGACAAAACCAAAAGGTGCCTTACTGACTTGCATGTATTTGAACCTGAATAATTACTAGATCTAGATCTAATGAGACCTGTGTACTTAACAGGATTGAGTCGATTGGGCCAAACCTAGATCTAAGTACGGCTAGACTGGCAGTCTACGGCTAGCCACTTCGAAAAAATAAGGGGGTGGAATTCTGCAACGAGCGACCATATGAAAATATGAAACAGAGTAGAGAATAGAGGGTTGGTTAGGGTTTTTAAAAACGGGTTCGAAGTGGCTAGCTGTACTTTAGTACGGCTAGCCTCTTCCTAACGGGTTTGGGGTAAGGGTTGGGTTAGGGTAAAGGTCTCTTGTTTACTTTGCCAAGTGTTTGTTGGGATGATCGTTCATTACGGAAGTCCTTCCAAAAAGTATTCATTTTGGACTTTATGTAAACTCATTGTATAGCAATGCCAATTGGGCTTTCCCGCGCGGCGAAAATTTGGTCCTGTTTGCGGGTGAATTTTTGGACCGGGTCGTAGCTTAGATGACTAACTTTGTCAGCCTCGGTCTGCTCTATTTCTGGACCAATGTGAATGAAACTCAGCAACCTATCAGAAAATAGTGCAAACTAATGATCTGATATGTGGACGTTGAAGTTCGTATTATATATTAACCAGTGGCGTCGCTTGGGTTGCAGACAAGGTGGTGCATAATTGGAAAGTGAGCAAATGGGCAATAGGCTTAGTAGTTACTAGCTCTATTAAGATTTCTAGAGAAAGTCAATTAGAATCTGCAGGATAGCCCGTAATCTAACATCTATCGATATTTAAAACTGTTTCTAGATATGAAATCACATAAAAGCTGCAATAAAGTTAAACAATGTACTAACAACTCACTCTATGCTCACAATCTGAGAAGATTTAAAGATTTCTAATTACTTCATGCAGCATCATGACTTGCTACACAATAGAGGAAGACAACAGTTTCGTTCCCATTCTTCATTGAGTTACCGTAAACTCCACTAGTGTAGTAAATAGGCTCGCGGAAACTTGGATCAAATTTTTAGCCTGCACCAAATTGGTGCTGCGAAGAGCAGTTTCATGCACCTTTCTTCTTGTGCGGGAAGAACGATGCCTAGATTTCTCAACAGTGACAAAAATAACTTTGGTGCAAAGATTTTGCTTGCTCCCAGCAGACACTACCGCAAGCGATGCGACGAGCATACATAATTTATAAACCATCCTAGCTGTCTGTCTCTTCACTGGCGCAGCCACCAGGTGACGGATCGCAAGGATACAGTAAGCCTAATGTAGACATAGAGCACTGGCTGGTTTAGAACAATTAGAAAAGAGGGGGGGGGGGGGTGAAGGCCAGGGTTAGGTGGAGCAATTGCGCCAATGGTGCCCCGCCACTGATATTAACCTTTACTTTTGGTGTTGGGAACACTTTCGTATCAAGGTGTACCGAAAACTATAAGGAGCTTGAATTTCAATGTCGAGATGGTAATAGATCTATCTATCCTCTATAGTGTGCTCACTCTCGTAGCAAATGTATGTGAACCTATAAATCCCCGCATGACTGGTATTGCGGGCCCGTTCATTGGTCACTTGAAAATAGGTTGTTTTTCTCTCTGTTCCCCTGTAACAACGCAATGGGGGTATTCCGAGGCAAGCTTATCTCGCCTCGGGGTGTTCACGTCTCAACAGGGAGAAAGAATTTTTAATTGTACGGCATACTATGTAGATTGAATTAACTTATAATCTTTTAAGGTTGGCATGGTCTTAAGTCATCAAAAAAAGCTTTGCCATTATTTAGTAACACTCGCAAAATCGTAATATGTACACCAAAATTTTAATGACAAAATAACTACGAAATGGTTAGTAAAACTGACGGCAGAAAAGATTTCTCCACCCAAAAACACATCGGGTAGCCAAGTTTCTCTCTAACACTCCAATAAAAACGGAGGTATCATCGATTATCTTACAGAATCTGCTACTGCGTGGTCCACTGTTTCGGAGTATTTTCCTATATATTTGGGTCATCCATATTTTGCCTACTAGACCTTTACAACCCAATAACTTTTTAATTTATAAACCGATTCTTAAAATTCAAGAAGCATAATTCTTAAAATTAAAAATTCTTTCTTAGGTACCAAAATAAAAAGGGCTAAAGCAAAAAATTAAATTTTCATTGGCATTGCTACATTGTATAAAACCAACGAATGTCTTGAAAGGGTTGCCTCTATCTGGCCTTAAATAATCTTCTTCATTTCTCAGAAAATTTATCAATGATCAAAGTTTCATAAATCAATATAATGATCTAAGGCAGACATTGCTGCTGCAAGGGAGGTCTTTTTACCCGTAAACCATTTGCTGCGTGAGTGGCAATTTATCAGTGAAACCGGTACAGTAAGAGAGTACAACAGCTGACAAAGTTCAGTCAAAATTGTCCACGATGGCCACCCATTGTGGCAAAGAAAAGTGGCTGACTCAGAGAGGTTACCAAAATCTATGAAACTGTGCAGCCAGATGCATTAAGCACTTTGATCTCCAGGGCAATGATTTTCTGCTGTGTACAGCATTCTAAAACTGGAGAATCAGGAATTTCCAAAACCAGAAAAAAGTAGCCTCAAACTAAACTTCTGTCCTCTCAACAAGGTGGGTACACTACATTCTCTTTTCTTTCCACAGGGCAGGGAAACCACCTCCAGGTCTGCATTTAGATGTTCTGAAAGACGGAAAGATGATCCAGGTTTGTTTGCACTGCAACTATTGTGTAAATGATCTTCCTAAAAGGACTGTTTTATTTCAGAAAGAGATGGAAGTCTGCAGACCAAGATATAATTTTATCATTACAAAAAAGCTCTGATGTAGTTTGTTCCTTCTGTTCTATAAAACGTCTATCGCCTTTATTTCTCCTTCTTTTCTTTGTATGTGATTCTTTTGTAACATCTCTAAATTTCAGCTCTTATAATGACCTGCCTATTTACACAGCAAGTGCTGTGAAACTCTTCCTAAAACTAAAACTATTAAAACTTAAAACTCGTTGTGGATGGTCGGAAGGTGTATCCGGTAGATCCAACATCTTTTCTTTCCCTCTGCAGCTTCTATCAGTTTTGTAATTCCCTTTACAGTTATTGTGTCTATGCACTTCTCTTTGCTTTAATTTACTATAAAAAGGATGTATGATTTGTACCATCTAGAATCTTGTTTGTTGGTGATTATGATTCTTTAATAATACCTGGAGCGGTGGCTTTTTACATATAAAAGGTAACACCATGCTCTGTCAACAAATATTACTGAGCAGCTATTAACTTTTAAAGTGAATTTGAGGTGTAAATTAACTACAGGGAAGTCTGTTTAAACCAAAATCTGTGGAACCATTTTATTTTTTTAACTGTTTAGCAATGTTTTCAGTTTACAGAGATACTCAAGTAAAGAAGAACAATTTTTTTTTGGATTTTATATATTTTCGGTTTACAGTTTACCTCTTGTTTTTGGATTAACCATATTCAGTTTAAGCGGACGCCACTGTATATGCCATCTACTGCAGATTGTTCACTGAGCATAGACGGGAAAAGCCATCACTATTTTTAATACTTTCTCATAAAAGTGAATGAAAAAACGAAAATATCTGACACTTTTGGTTGATTTGTTCTAGTGTTAATGCTATACGAGGATGTTGATGGTAGTGGCGACTGTTTGCTTATTTATATGTAGGATGATGCTATTGGTGTGTTACATGTGATCTATGATCATTTTATATTTTCAGAAACTGATGATTGATGAGAAAAAGGCATACTTCTTCGGTCGTAACAAACAGCTGTGTGACTTCACGATAGACCACTCCTCATGTTCAAGGGTTCACGCAGCTCTTGTGTGGCATCGCCATCTCTCTCGTCCATTTCTCATCGACCTCGGCAGTAGTGAGTACCTGTCTAATATTTGTGTTGAAGTTGGATTGCTCAAAATAACTGTGGGATTCTATTTCTTAAGACCTGCCGTGGCGCTCAGAAAATGTGAGTTTCATTCCTGAGTGGGGAAGTTCGGGGTTTTTTTCTGTTGAGTCTCTCCTTCTGTCTACTGGGATGATGTGTCCCGCTTAATTGAGGTTAAATTTTTATAGGGGTTACTACTGCTTTGAGACACATGACACTGGGCAATTCAAATTGTGAATTCAAAATGTTTGCAAAAAATGAAATGTTTAAAGTTTTAAAAAATCTGTAAGGAACATGTGAAAAATACCTGATGTGCAGTAATCGTTTGGTTTCTGCTAATGATACGCAATGGGGTCAAAACTTTTCCCCCATCCATTGTTATGCTTTTATTGGAAAATGGGTAAAACTAAAAAAGGAACACACACACTCACGTGCATGCACACATGCGCGCACAACACACACACACAGATATGTCTTGCGCATTGTGTGGATCATGACGTGCAGTGTGTATTGTTTCAGTGAGATATTGCCTCTAGATTTTGTGCACTATGTCAACCACTGCAAAATTAGGGGGTGGGAGAGGGGTATGGACACATGTACAGTTGAAGTTATGTAAGACGGCCGGTCATCCTTTGTCAAGGAGAAAAGTGGAAATCTGAGACAGATGGACGTCCTGGACAGTCTCATTATAGTATTTTTAAAATATCAAAATAGCAAAGGGGGGGGGGGGGGGGTGGTCGATTGTACAGGTGACTGTCTTGGACAAATAGCTGTTAGAGTAGGTTCGAAGGTTCAACTTCACTTTACTTTTGCTGGAAAGTAAGTCGTCTCTGTCTCTCTCCCCCCCCCCAGCTCATGGCACGTTTATCGGACACATACGTCTGGAGTCCAAGAAGCCCCAGCAGGTGCCCATAGACAGCGAGATTCACTACGGTGCTTCCACACGCATCTACATTATCAGAGAACGACCGCAGATGGGAGTGGGCGGCATGGACGAGAAAGACGGAAAGAGGGATGAGTCTGAGGGGAATTTGTTAGGACTTCCTGAGTCTGAGACAGAACTCGACGTGAGTTTTGGTTTTTCGGTTTTTTTAGCCATGTACTTCAAACTCTATTTAGTAATTACCTGCTAGGTTGTACAGACATGCTTTGTTCAGTTCTTTTAAAATTATATACATTCTGAAAAGAACATTTAAGAAATATATTTACTTGGGGGGTGGGGGGGAATTTTGGTTTAATACTTTATTTGTAAATGTAAACTAAGTTGAGTTTGTTCCGGAGCTGGATTTTAGGCTGAAGAAACGTCTGAGAAGGAAGAGAAATAAAATAAAATTTAGTTTTTATTTGTCAAGTTTGTAATCAAAATGAAGGAAAGTTACTGGCATGAAAGGAGGAATATATAATTTTAAAAGGATAGAAAAGAAGCTTTTGTTTTAATCTCTTTTAATAAGAGTTTTAGAATATTTTTTTTGTATTCTACAGATAACATCACGCTTTCTTAGTTTGCATGAGTTTCGTAAGAGTTTGACAGAAATTTCTCTAAGGTTTCAGGGTTTAGTTCTCATAGCTTAAGTGACTTCCGGTAAAAATAAAATTCTGGTGATCTAAGCTTGAAGTATGGACTTGTGCTTTTAGTTTTGAGAATTGTGGGGGGAAGGAGGAACTGTCTCTCAGCATCTGTGGTGTAATGATTAAGCACTTTGTTGTTGTATGAAGATGGTTTGAGTTTGATTCACGGGTGGGGAAGCCTTTTTAATCATCTGCTTGTTGTATTCCACTTAATGTTCACAAACAGGGTTCAATGCTGCCCATTTTTAAAAAATGATAAAATTTACTTTATGGGAATATATAACTTTTACATACCCCTCCAGAGTAAAAAAAAAGCGCATTTTTTAATTCGTTTCTCTCCATCAGAATCTCACAGAATTCAACACAGCTCACAACCGTAGAGTAATATCAGTGGCAGATATGCCCGATGTACCAAACCCACTCAAGCGAAAACACAAAGGCGGCCATGTTGGCTTTGCAGATGAGGAAGATGTTATCAATCCAGGTACGATCGTTTTTCTTTTTTTTGACTTGCAGGTTTATCAAATGAGCATTCTTTCATGCTTGAAGCAGTTGTGATTAAAAATGAAAAGAAATTCTGTAATTATTTGTTTAACATATGAAGGTTGATAAAGTAACCATAATTCAAATGCCAAGTAGCAGTTATCACTTTAGTATTGTTATTATAATTTGGGCCTTAAAAAATTCACAATATTTTTATTCTTTACTTATGTGAAAGTATTTTCATTTTGCTGAAGTTATCTTGGTCTTTTAATTTCCCTCTTTGCAGTTTCATAGTCGATGCTGGTAAATAGACATCAAGGCTCAAATGAAAGGCTCTGCATGTTTTATGGTCAGATAGTCTGATAGTCTTCAGTATTCCGAAGATTGAAGAGTTCAGTCTTAAAACGCATTTTTTTAAAATGGTTTAAGAGTGCCTCTCAGAAATCTTACTTCTTTTCTTTCCCTCAGTTATTTCCGTCTTTCTTACTTTTACCCAGCATAAAATTACTGTTATCATGTCAATGTGCTTCTCTTTACTCAATTTTTTTATACTTCAAATAATCCATCGTAATAATTGTTTGACTGGGATAAAGTGTCTTGTGACAAAGTTTCCATTACTCAGCGCTTTTCTTCCCAGTAGTTTTCTTATTGAGTTCAAACAAAAATGCGGGTATAATTGATACTCGTCCTTGATGCTTTTCGGGAAATTTCAGCCACTTTAGCTGTCTGGGAAGCATTTTTAGTATTCTGATGCAGCAGGCTCTCAGATTACTTATTGTGGGTGGGATTTCATTGGTCGTTTTTTTGTTTGTTTTGTTTTTCTTTTAATGTGCCTTTTGAATTCGACAGACATCTTTTCTCTTTTCTGTCTGTCTGTCTGTCTGTCTGTCTGTCTGTCTGTCTGTCTCTCTCTCTGTCTCTCTCTCTCTCTCTCTTTCTCTCTCTCTCTGTCTGCCTCTCTCTCTCCTGTCTCTCTATCACTGTCTGTCTGTCTGTCTGTCTGTCCTTTCCTCCCTCCTTAAAAAAAAATACCCGAACACAAAAACATCTGAACAACTCTTGTCTGTCTGTTCTTAATTCAGTCTCTCTCCTTATTATTTTCAAATGAATATCAATTGAAGGTTCTTAAATTTCTTTCCATTTTTGTCTTCTTTTTTTTTTTTTTGATAGTTCAACCCACTGCATCTGTTTTTATTTATACCCTTTTTTTTTCATATGGATTGTCAGTTTTAACAGTTATGTTTGTATGTAGGCTGTGCCGTATTCATGCCGATCGGCTGCTGATACATTTTGTGTAAACTCTACACCTTGTGGGGAAGAAGGAGGGTAACTGTGTCTGTGTATGTGGGAATTTATCCTCATTCGGTCCGTTCTCATTTGTGTCTTCCAATGTTTTTGTTTTTGAACAGAGGACGTTGACCCTTCAATAGGCAGGTTTAGAAATCTGGTGCAAACAACAGTCATCCCAACAAAGGTAAGCTCTCATTGTGCTCAAATGTCAGACTGGTTACGTCTTAAGTTAAATGAAGGAGTATGGCTCGTTTGAATATATGGTTTCTTGCCCTGGCTTGATAATAAACTTAAACAATATTTCTGTAAAGACTGTTGCGGACTGGTTGCAGCTTTAGGTTTGACCTTTAACCTACTTTAAAAGAAATTTACTTACTCCCTCCCTATACCGTCAGGTACATAAGGCGGAGAGCAGTCGATGCCAAGCTTGTCTGTTCCGGGCCACTTTCTCCAATTTCAACATCTCTTGGCCCTGGATGATTGTCTCATCCCTAATTGTGCCTCTATAGTTTCCAGTTGGTCTTCCTCGCTTTCTCTTTCCAGTTGGTTTCCAATGCCATGTCTTATAGGGCAATCTCATCTTTGGCATTCTCAGAACAAGCCCCAGATATCTCCATTTTCTCTTTTTTATTGTTGTGTTGATATCTTCAATTCCAGCTCTTTCCAACACTTCATTATTTGTAATAAATTCATTCCATTAGTAGAATTCTTTGTAGACATTTTGTTTGGAAGCTTTATAATTTTCGTTGAATTGTTTTGTTTGTTTTCCATATCTCTGAACCATATGTCAGTACAGCTAAAATATTGCTATTATATATTTTAAATTTCGTCTTCAATGAAATGATCTTTGACTTCCATATAGTTTTTAATTCTACTAAAGCGATCCATGCATTTTTAAGTCTTTGGTGAACGTCGTCAAGGTAGTCTGCAGTTTTGGATATAATGCTGTCAAGGTATTTGAATTTATTAATTTCTGCAAGGGGTTCTCCATAAAGAGTGATGGGTGTAGTTTCTGATCATAATCGTAGTACTTCTGTTTTGGATACATTTATTATAAGGCTAACTTTTTCCGCAACTTTTGCTAGTTTGTGTGTTTTTTGATTGCACTTCATGTACTGTGGTGTTTAACAGGCAGATGTCATCCACAAAATCTAGATCTCCTAAATATGTGCCATTTGTCCATCCAATGCCTGTTTCAATGTATTTACTGACTCATTACAAAACCGATCACAATTCCAAAAAGTACAGGTGATTATATACTGCCTTGTCTAACACAAGTGTTTACTTTAAAAGATGTAGATAGCTCTGCTTCAACTAGGAAACAGCAGCTTGCATTGGCATATAATGATCTTATACAGTTTATTATTTTTGTTGGGATGCCATAAGTTTTCCACAGGGCCTCTCGGTCTATGCTGTCAAAGGCTTTTTTAAGTCCACAAAGTTCAAGATAATTAAAAAACATTAAATTCTTACCTTTGTTCTACGATATTTCTTAGAACAAGCAGTTGATCTGTACACGATATCCTTTGTCGAAAACCCACCTGTTCCTCCTCTTAGTCTCTCATCTATTGTAGTTCTGATACGAGACTAGATAATAGCGCAAAATCATTTTCCCGGCACTCATAAAAGCGTTATTCCTCTCCAATTCCTGCAGTCTTTTAAGTCCCCTTTTTTTGGGTTGTTTTATTAATTATATTTCCCTTTCTCCATTCCAAGGACGTGTTTTCTTTTTCAAGAATTTCGTTAAATAGCCTTAGTAAAAGGAATATCTCATAACCTTTTTTTTCAATCGTTTTACGCTTCTCAGCGGTAATTCTATCTTCTCCTGGACTTTTGCTTCTTTTCATTTTCATGACTGCTGTTAAAATGTCTGGCATGGAAAGATGATGAACTGGATTTCAATGGAAATCTAATTTGTAAATGATACTTTGGCATTATGACAGTTGGAAAATGTGATGCCAAAGCCATTTCGAACTCTAATTGCTAGATCAAATTTCACATATATACCAATTTTTTTGGGAAGAGGCATTGTATTGTACATTTATCATTTAACTCATGAATGATTTGCTCTGCCATTCTCAGTGAAAAACCTCACTCGATTGGAAGTAATGCAATTGTATAGTTGGTGGAAAACTTTTTTAAGGTGATAAATCTTATATGAATAATGCACAAAAAGCACAGTTATGTGAGGATAATGATTACATTTACAATAATTGCATTTATATAGCGCATATCTATGCTCTACAGCATGCTCTATGGGCTTCGCAACTGCCCAGCAAACAGTAGAAACATTTTGGCGCTCATATGACCTTATGCAGTTGCGAGCGCCGTAAAACCCTCAACTATAAAAAAAAAGTAGAAACATTCTCGGCATCTCAGGAAGCGTACAGTGCTAACAGCCCATTACGCACTAAAACACTAACAAACTGACAAGATCTTTCGCTGTCTATAGCCGAAACCCATTCCCTCCCGGGTTAAATCCATAAAATTTGTGTGAAGTGCCTTCCCCAAGGACACAATTGTTGGGCTCCTTCCTGACCTTTTGTGGTGGAGCCCGACAACCCAGCCTAATCATTTGATTATTGATTCCATAGCATAGTTCATTTTTTTAGCTTAACACTTAACTAACAGTTTTTGGGTATTTGTTTTTTAAGAAATGTATTGCCAGTTTGCAATAGATGATGGGATTCTTCCCCCCCCCCCCCCCCCCCATTATTCTATTTGTTATGGCAGCCACACTTATTTTCCCTTTTATAGGAATTGTATTTGTGTTGTCTTTGCCAAATAATTATTTTTGTGTAGCAATACCAAGTTAAACTTGTTTCAAATTATGAGAATGCTGTTCTTTAGTCATGTCCTTCAAAGGCCAGTAAAGTTGTTTTTTTTTAGTGGTCTTACCTTTTCATTGTGTGTTCCAATACTTATGTAATGGTGTTTGTGGTGCAGCAGATGGTTACTTAGCCATTACATGCAGAAGACCTGAGTTTCATTTCCGTTTGGGGAGGATTTTTAAAGAGTGTCTCGGTTTTTCTGTTGGCACACTGTATCACTCTTAGCATGGGTTAGTCCTGACAGGCAGGATCAAAGTTCACCACCGAAATAGTTTAAATTGTGTTGATAGAGGTGTAAAAACGTCTACATGAAAGAACCCCCCCCAAAAACCCCCCCACAAAAACAATACAGTTAAAAATGCCTAAGGTGACCACCCCATTGTGTTTTGTAGTTGCTATTGACAGGTGGAAGTCTTGGACAGTGTCATGATTGTATATATTGAAAAACAAAAGGGGGAAAATGGGAAGTGGTCGTCTGTACCGCTGATTGTCATGGACAGATGGCCATTAGTAGAGCAAATTTGATTGTTCTTATCTGTGATACATCTGTGTTTTGTAGTGCCCAGTAGTCTGTTAGTCTTTTTGTTCTTCAATATCTTATTCAATTTTTGTTGTTGTGGTTGTTGTTTTTATCTCATTCCAGCGATGTAAACAGTATTTCTGTTTGTTGTGGGTGGTTGGCGGGTGCTCTGATGTGGTTTGCTTCTTCTTTCCTATCAATGATCAAACATGTATCGTCCTTATCTCCCCTTCTTGTTTTTTATGTTTGTTACTTTCTTGTAACACCTCTTATCATTCTGGCGCTCATATGACCTTATGCAGTTGCGAGCGCCGTAAAACCTCTACTAAAACATAAACATTCTGTTCTTTAGTGTCTTTTGGTTGTTAATTTCTCATTCCAGCGAGGTAAGCAGTCTTTCTGTCTGCTTTTTCTTTCCTATCAAACATCTATTGTCTTTATCTCCCCCCCTTCTTTAGTATCTTATCGTTGTTAATTTCTCATTCCAGCGAGGTAAACAGTCTGTCTGTTCCTTAGTATCTTATCGTTGTTAATTTCTCATTCCAGCGAGGTAAACTGGACATCGGAGCGGCGGGCATGAACCAGCACATCCACGAGTCAAAGAACCCCCTCAGTCCTACCAGCCTGTACGGTGACCTGCCCGCTTCGGGCCCCGGCTCCATGTTGGCAAACCCGCTCAGCATCGCCGCCAAACTGGGCCTGCCCGTGCCGAACTTAGCGCCGGACGTGGACTTCCAGAGTCCCGCCCCTCCCCCCGCGGCGCCCCCTGTGGCCGTCACTGTCCCGGAAGAGCCCGGTCCAAAGGAGCCCAAGAAGAAGAAATATGCAAAAGAGGCGTGGCCGGGGAAGAAACCTTCGCACAATTTGCTGGTCTGAGGGGTGGGGTTTTATTGTGGGTGGGTGGGTAGGTGGGACTTTCTTGTTCATTGCTCATTCCGAGTGGAATGAGTTAGTTCATTTTCCATTATGGGTTGGAATTGGTTAGTTCATTGTTCATTTTGGGTTGGGAATGGGCGTAGCTTGTTCATTGTTCATTATGGATTGGAATGGACTAGTTCATTTTTCATTATGGGTTGGAATTGGTTTGTTCATTTTTCATTTTGGGTTGGAAAAAATGGTTAGGCCAGTTCATTGTTCATTTTGGGTGGTAAGGGCTAGTTCATTGTTCTTTCAAGGCGGAACAGTGTACTGAATGTAGCAGATCAAGAAGCAATGAAGTACAAATTAACTGGCCTGTCTGTCTTTGGACACTTGTAAAACGTACTGCAAGTCTTTTTATTGCTGTTCTTGAAGGATGCTTAATTCTTTATCTGCATATGGCACACGCACTCATACAGTTTTGAGAAAAGAGAACAAAGAAAAGCGCAAAGGCTTGACAACAGTCGTTTAATACTGGGAGAAAAATGCAAAACGGACAGACAGAAAGAAAAGAGGCATCGTAAAAAAGTGGGACCTGCATGTGAAATCAATGCAGGGTTGTTTCAAAATCAAACCTGTTTGCAGAAGCTGATTTGTATGGTTAGCTTTGCGTGTTTCATGCTGTATAACAAAGTGTTTTCTCCGAGAAGCGTTTTAGTCTCAGCAAATGTTAAAAGGTTAAAAGGTGTTCTGAATGACTCAGCCTTTCAGTTTTTGTTCAGCTGGCAAATCCGCTATATTAAATTAGATCTGGGATCATTCAGGGAGTTTAATAGAGCAGTCATAGATTTTACCTTGTTCTCATTGTTTCATTGTGGTTTGAACAAGGGTTGGTATGAGGACAAATGGTGCACTCGACAGTTGTTGTTATGACTATTGAATGGTTAATTCTCAAGTGAAAAGGGGGAGTATGGTAGTGGGTTACATGAGTGTAAAAAGATGTATGTGTTGGATGCACTTATGCAAGGGTTTGTGCTGTGAAGGAAAGAGTGTGGAAGATGAAAGGCATGATTGAGAGATAGCTAACTGATGAGAGAGAGAGAGATTGATAGATTGACAGAGTGTACTTTGATTATAATATAATGTCCTTTTTAAAATTTTCTTCGTTTTTGTATGGTTTTTTTGTCTTTGCTTGTGTAGCAAGAGCAAGAGAGAAAAAAAAACCTTACAGATAATATATACATGCTATGTGTATGGTAATAGATATGTGTGTGCATACGTGAGTGTGTTGTGGTTGTTTTTTGGTCTCTGCGCCTTGTGTTCATTCACAGCATTTCACCAATGGATATTATTAAGTCCTTTTTGCTTTAGAATTATAGATCAGCAAGGTAGGGCTGTAGGCCAAAATCAAGACTGGTCCTCCGTTATTTGAGGTATAAATGTAACTACACAAAGACTACAGGTTGAGAATCTGGCAAGTCACAGTTTTGTGATCTTGAGAAACCTTAGGTTGTTGGGTTTTTTAAAAAGTTTGAACCCGGTATCTTTCGGAAGGTATAAAATTACTGTATACCATTTTTTTTCTTCGCACTTCTTGAAATTGCGATATATTTTTTTAAATCTGCAAATTCAAGTCATTTGTTAAATTTCTCTCCTGCATTGGAACCCAAAAAGAGAATCTGTAATTACTTACCAGTGTTCATCACTTTTACAGGAATTCAGACAGAACCTGCCCCATTAAGACACACCTATGCTTGTGGGTGAAATGGACATCAACATGTGTTTTCCTTGAACTTGTTGTCTGCACTGCTTTGCATCAGAGTTTAGCTGCACTTAAAAATAAGATAACTGTATACTAGTATTCATTTAGAAGTACGTCAGACAACATACATGACACTGGACGGCATAAACTGCAAAGTCAAAATGTTCAGGAAAACAAAATGTTTTGTAAAAAAAAAATGCGGTGAATAGTATCTCCTTTACGTAAGTATTTCCATTTTCTCCTGTTACAAAAGTTTTTAAAAGTGTCACGAAACCGCTTGGGGCATAACTCAGAAAGATAGTGCGACATTGCTGTTTTACCCCTGTAGTCTTCAGATGTACTTCTAATACTTCTATGGATGAAGTGTATATTTGTGAGGCAGCGTGGTGAAGTCAGGCTCTCGTCAAAATAAAGAAATCGTAGAAAGAGGCATAAGTTTGGAAATTTTGATCGAATTTTTATTTTTTGGCTTGACCTCTTTTATGTCCATGTAAAAACACATTTTCATGTGAATTTTACTGAAAAACATTGATTAAAGGCACTAAATATGCCATTTTTCAGTTTTCAATGACTCTTTAGCTATTGGAGTTACCTAACTTTAGCGGCCTTTTTCTCATTAATTTCACCACTGAAATCATGCGACCTCAGTTCCTTCAATATCGGATATCTTGATATAAGTAAATCAGCTTTCACATGTTAACAATAACAATAACACCACATGCCCAAATATTTTCGAGCACCTGATTCCACTGCGCCGTAACACATTTCATTATTAATTTGTACATTGATTTAACCCTTTATTTGCAGATATACTTGTCCATTTGCTAATACAAGAACTGCTCTGTGACTTGATTGCAGATACCATTAGTAAACTTTTTAGGGTGTAAAAATATGCTTTGCTAAAGATGCTGGAAAAATGGAGTTATCTGTCAAATGAGTATGAGACACAAGAACATACGTTTTAATCATGTAAAAAAAAAATATCTAAAACTTTTGCTGGACCCTGTCCTAGTTTTCTCTTACTCTGGTGTCTGGTGTAATGGTAAGGCTCCCAACCGCCAAATGCAGAAGGCGAGGGTTTGATTCCCAAGCTGGGAAGTTTTTCTTAACAAGTATCTCTCTAAATGATGTACATTGTGACGATGGGCTCGTAAAACACTTGCAATTACTATTTAATTGTTCGTACAAAGTGGTGCTTTTGCTTTCTTTTGCTGCCATAGGTCCTGTACTGTAATGTTGTCTTGTAATGAACTTGATTGAGTGTCTCAGAAGCCCCTCGTTAGTGTCATGAGGATGGAATGTTGTTTTGAGTATTTGAAGTGCAAAATTATTTTAAATGCTTCTCATTAAAAAATTCAGGGTGTTTATGAAATGCAGTCACACTTGTGTGGCCTTTTGCATGATCTTGGTGGGCGATCTTAAAGAGGTATGTATGCTGTAGCTTTGCCTGAGCGGTAGACATGAAGGAAATCATGTTCCAAATGCTACTCCCATCCCTTCAGATCTTGACTTCCTTGATATGCTCGAAGGGAGAGACATGATCAGTGTGTGTGAAATCAAAGAGGGTGTAAGGGTATGTCCTACTATTTTTACAGGTGTGATAGAGATATTTTTTGTAATAGGAAAATTTTTAATTTTGCTTGGGTCGCGGCCTAATGACCTACTCTTCTGCAATTTTCAACAATCAAAGGATCTTTACAACATCCCATTAATTATTAATAGCATATTAATTTGATAGCACAAGTAAATGAAGAATGAAGACAGTTCTATTTTCTTCAGTGTCCTGGTTTAGTTGCTTCTCTTCTACTGAATTTGTATGAGTTTCAGTTCTTCTGATCGAAAGGCTAATCCAAAAGCCACTACTTATTTTATCTTCTACTGCCATCAGGACTTGGTTTTCTCTGTTTTTTATAATGGGTTTTGTTAAAACAGTCCATGGATAAAAGTTTGCTAGCTGTGGCCAGAAATTCTGGCAAGGGAAAGCCAGTCGGTATCACGGTGCCAGCAGCCGGGGATGGCCGCCCTTGACTGGACAAACATCAATCTCATGAAGCATGGATTTCTTTCGTTTACCTGGCAACTGTCTAAAAAAAACGTCTGACTTTTTAACTGAGCTGTTCAAGCATAAATCGACAGTACGGGAGTAATTCGATTATCTTTTCAGGCAAAGCCTCTTTAGATGCTATGAGTTTGACAGTTCTCAGGCAAAATGGTTGTGACCAACTTTTACCCATGGAACAGTCTTGTTAATATTTTACTGATGATGGCAGCAAGCTGAAGTATTATCAAACAATCTTGATCAAACGACTGGTGTCAGCTGTTTAATAGTTTGGCTTTTCTTTGTCACTTGCAGAAGATGTGAATTAAATTTCCGCGTGGGGAAGTTTTCTGTGAAGTATATTCATCTGTTGGCAATATTCTGCTTCGCGAGGGTTTACCCTAATAGGCATAGTCGAATCAGCAGACCTCTCAAATGATCAAAATGTATTTATGGAAGCATAAAACACTTATAATATTATTGTTATACACTTCTCAATGGTATGATTAGGACAAGTACCTTATGTGCTCACCTATAATGCGACCTCGTGTATGTATACATACATGTTGGCATACCTTGTCTCCAGAATCAGACTAGCTTGGTGGGTTAACCCTATCCGTACGCCCTGCAGTCATTTTGTACCCCCTGGGTTGTATTCTTCTCATTTTAAATTTTAGAATATTTCTAGTAAGAAGATCTCTTTGAACCTTTCAGTATTTCTCAAAAATTCTTTTTGACAGACGACTATACAGATAGGATTAATGAGTAAATTTCCTCTTTGGTAAGTGGTGGCCCGGAGTTCGCCACGTCATATGGATACGATAGTAAAACACGACGTACGGATAGGGTTAATTTGATTAAGTAAAAGTCCATGACACTCACCTTATGGTTGTGTTGACCATTGGATATGGATTTGCTGTTTGTGACTGATTTTAATTTCATTGTGACCAGAGTGTATGATGTCATGATTTGGATTGTCTTCAGGTAGTGTGATCAGGCGAATTTTTTTCCAAAATGGTATATGCTGACTGTTACCAAGCTTTGTATTTCTACCTCCATGTTTTTGTCTCGGAAACTATACTTAAAATTTATGAAATCATAAACAGTGGAAAAATTTCCTTGTGATGTTGATTGGAGACAGTGTTTTCCGAATGTCACAGATGTCAGCTAAGTAAAAGATATTGAACTCTTCACATATAATTATTTTTGTTGGAAAGGAGTTTTTATAAAATAGAGGTAGTTTCTGATTTATTCAGCACAGACTAAATTGGCATTCTCTTCCAGTTGCTTTCCTTTTTCGTGCATGTGTTGATGTGTCTGCAAGTGTGATGTATGCATGTACGTCTACATGAATGGTTGCACTCAGTGTACCTTGTCCTGCATGTATATGTCTGATGGCAGGGTAGAAGTAGAAATGAAAGTGCTTAGACTGAAAAGTGGTCTTGGGGTACATTTGTAACGTAAAACTACTTATTTGCACCTGCATAAAGTATTAACATTTTCCCGCCATGGGAGGCCAGTCGGTGATGGTAAGAAGCCATCCCCCCCCCCCCCCCCCCCCCACAGGATGCTGATGCTGATCGGTGACTGTGTGATATAGCGACAATAATGTTGTATGCTGCGTGAGTGGAAAGTGTTAAATCTATGAACCTGTGTTCGAGGGCTGTTTTTATGATCCTCAAGTTTTGCTCACCAGTCAGCTGAAAATAAACTTTGCTTCCTTTTGTAGTAGTAAAACACTTTTGTAGATGTCCCACCTTCTTTGAATGAAAAGAGGTGTAGCATTTTTATTTATCAAAGGCCAAAAAGTTTGCAATGCTGGTTTTCCTCATAAGTACACTGTATTAACCCTTTCAGTGCTGAAACATATCTATTTCCTTTTGTACAGACTGGACAAAATGTTCATTAGGAGAGATCTAGACAAAGCCATAATATATTTCCCCTTACTTAGAATAAGAAAGTGCACACGTTGCAAATACATCTTTAAAAATATCGATGAAAATTGTCAAGTGAACAAGTTTGGGAGAATCAAGTACATGTTATAAGTACATGTCATGTCTACCCAGCAGTGAAGAGGTTAAGCCATTTACTGTGTAGACGTATATATGTAATCTCTTGCATTTTCTGAAACAGGTTCTTTTCAAATGCAGTTACAGCTTGTGTTGTTGCTTATTCTTAAAAAGGGGGGAGGGTGTGGCTTTGCGCTAAAATCTCTCTTGAGTGAACATTTCATTTTGTGTCTTTACAGATGTAGATGGAAACGTCTCAGCAGTGAAAGAGTTTAAGAGTGAAAGATTACTGCCGTTCTGATGTGTAAGTGTAATAATTAGCTCTACGGCTGTCATTATAACAAGACGTCATGGGTTGGATTCCCATGTGGGGAGGGTTTTTCATTGAATATCTCTATCTTGTCTACCGGGCTGTTGTATCCCTCTCAGTTTGGTCAACCCCCCAACAAGCATGGCCAAAGAAACGTGCCTCCTAAATTATCAAATGTGTCAACGGGGGCATTATAATTTACTTTGAACCGTCACGTACATTACAGTTTACAGACGTGAAGAGTATGGCCCTTGAGTAGACCTGTTCATTAGCTGTGTGGTGTTGTCCTCAATTTAACATGTGTGTGTGTGTGTGTATGCTTATGTGTCTTGTGCAGGTTGCATGGCTGTATGTTTTACAAAATGCACTGTCAAAACTTTCAAAACATTTTCATGGCCTCTTTTGTTGTTTGGGATTTTTTTTTTTGGGGGGGGGGGGGGGCTACTGTGTTTAACTATTTCTTAATTGTGAGGGCAAGTTTGCTGTGGCATTTTTGTTTGTTTTGTTCTTAGGGGATTGAATTCTCATTGGTTTCCTTCTTGACATTATCAGAGCTTATCCTGTGTGTTCATACAGTTTGCAAAGATAAAATCTTTGTTTCATTTCATCATCATTTGTTTTTTATGCCTGCACATCAGTTATTGTAATTAATTACATGTATAATAATTTACATTTTATTGTCAGGTTGAATGAAAATTACAATATTTTGCTCCAATGAAAAGAATTCTCGTTTTTTTGTTGTTTTAGTGTAAATTTTACTTACTTCATCACCACTTTCTTTTTCACAAGCATCTTATTGTCTTTAAACTCTTAATCAGGAGTTAAGAATTTTGAGATAAAAGTGAAAGATCGCAGGTTGTTTGCAAAAATGAAACTTTATTCTTTATAATTAAATTGCTCATATTATAGGCGAGTAAGTACCGGTGCAGTAGACATTGTAATTGTACTATCATCATTCTCAGCACTTGCTGTTCACGTGTCCCGCGGGCTCTGCTTTTTTTCTTCATAAGTTTTACGGCACTAGCAACACAGTTAGGTCATATATATAAGTGCCGAAGATTAGAGGTAGGCTATTACAAGGAAGTAACAAACACAAAAAAGAAGGAGGGGGGGATAAAGACAATAGATGAGTTTGTTTGATAGGAAAGAAGGGGCAAACCACACTAGAGCACCCGCCAACTACCCACTGAACTCAGCTTGTTGTATCATGTTCCATAACAGTTCAGAATAATCTCGCTCTAATTCCTGTAAAGAAATTTTTTTTTGAAATCACAGACAAGAAACAAGGAAAAGGAGAGAACCGAACAAATTCTGCCAGAACACCTGCCACCCACACTCACTGTTTGTGGGTTTCACACCTTTTTCAACACTGCAACTGTAAGATTGTGTCAGGAGACACCTGCAAATTCCTACTTTCACCTTCGAAAGAGCTGACCCAACAGATGGAGAGCTTTTTTTTCTCCCCCACATGTAGGTGTTTTTACTACACACCCATGGACTCAATTTCCATCATTTAGGAGGTGGGCCTCGACTCATTTGTCAATGGTGGTTTGAAAAGTACCATAAAATTTCCTTTGATCTGCTCCTGTTCAGACATACAACGTATGTCCGCTACGTCCTAGAGAATTTTTTATTTAGTTTTAGTAAATGTTTTACGGCACTTGCAACACAATAAGGTCATATAAGTGCAGAAGATTAAAGGTGTTACAAGAGAGTAACAAACACAAAAAAGGAGGGGAGATAAAGACGATAGATGTTTGATAGGAAAAAAGAAGCAAACCACACCAGACCACCCGCTAACCGCCCACTCCTTAAGAATTAAGACACACACTGTACATACAGTAGTTATAGCAATAACAAACTTTTAACTAGGAATCAGCAAAACCTCACTCCTGTTCAAGTAAACAAAAACACACCGTTTATTCCCACTTTTGACACCCACAAACAGTTTAATATCTCATAATTTCTACACACACACACAAACATACAGAACTTTCATAAATACATTTTCGTAAACTCATTATACATTATACATGTGTGCAAATGTCCCTCCAGTCACAGGTAGACAAATCTATACATGTACACAAAACAATCACTTTGCAAGGTGAAAGAGCAACAACTGTCTCTGAGTGAGGTACCGGTAACACAAGGAACATCGTCACCACACAAGGCCAATCGTACATACAATGTAGTGATATACACAGGTGAACAAAATCACAGTCAAAAGGTTTAAATACAGGCAAAAATACTCTCAATTTCATGAGGAAATGTTCATCGATTTCAAGTAACAAACACAATCATTTCAATACATGTCCCAACAAACAAAAATGTTCAGTCCTTGTAGATCTGGGCGGTTTTGTTTAAAGTAAATTAAAGTGTCTCACCTTTATAGGAAATGTAAAAAAAAAAAAAAAACCCACGATCGAATGATTTTTCCCAAATTTGTCACAACAGGGGACCCTGACTATACTATACTATAACTATAACACTTTAATAACAGGATGGCAAGGACTGACATGATATCCCAGTTATAGCCGAACAACCCCGTTTTATATATATTGGGGACGGGGAAGAAGTTTCATACAGTAACTTAAGTAACTAGATCTCCTTTCTTTTACAGAAATATTTTGTTCTCATCTTGACCTTCCCTTTTCTATAACATCATGGGAAGTTGACTAGACAATTCGAGATGGCCTACAATTGTATTTATATATTGTAACACATGACATACCCATGTTCTATAGCACCCACAGCATGTATGTGCACTTTATAAAGATTTGTCACATTGAATACATGTAGTTACCATGGTTGGAAACAGGAGCGCACATAGATCAGCGGCAGATCTAGCACCCAGAGCCTTCTTTTCATTTAATTTTTTTTCTCCCTGTAACAAGTCTCGCCACCCAACGGGGAGACAACATGATGATGTGGTGCCAGGCCAAGGTCATGCTGTCACTTGCTGGACTTGTGTCACTAACTGGACTTGTGTCACTTTTGTCAGCCCCAAAGTCCATCTAGCTGTCCTCCCCTGAACACATGATGTGACACATTAGAATTAAAAGGGTACACAATCGACTCTGGCCTAATGCGGGTTGCCTAGGTCCAATTCGCTGTTGTTTTGCTTTTTCCTGCTTTCTTGTCCACTTCCTTTACGATTTTGTCGATGGCTCGACCACAGTTATGGCTAAACATTTCTCTTCTGTCTGAAAGAAACTTGTACTTCTTGACTACGCATTAAATGAGTTTGCACTCAATGATTTATTATAAGCCTGCTATAGCTGGAGTCCCGTTCGAGTCGTGACTGTTATCAGAAGGGCCCACTGAACTGTTAATGGGAGATTTTACATCGTTTTCATTATATTCCAAGACGTAAAAATATCAATTGAGCTAAACCCCAAAAGAAAAAAACCTATGTCTACAATAACAACCCAGCTTTACAGTATGAAAGAAACATTATAATATTTATATGCACCAATTTCATGAACCACATAATACAGACAAAATGTAGTGTGGAAATTAATGAATTCTTCCACTTCAATGAAATGTAGAAGAAAAATAATTATGGAACAAAGTCATGGAAATAAAACAAAACATATATTTACAAACATTGCAAAAGTTAACTGAATACCAGCAATACATCTCTTTTCACATACATAATGAAGAATCTAACTTTAAAAATCCTGACTCCAAACACATGAACAAATTATTTATTATACCAAACCAGTTAAAAAAGTGAGAGTAACCAAGATTACAGTGCCACAAGACCTCACTTCACATGACCAGCATATGTGCATCCGTTCTTTTGTGTTACGAAAGGCCCTTTAAAACAGTCAGTCTACTCATGGGTGGGTTGGGGGAGAGCAAGCTTGGACATTTTTTTTTTTTTAAATAACACTAGCTTTGACTTCTCTGACCCAAACAGTCAGGTACGCTGAGAGCATTTAGTTAGACAACCATAATACATAATCTGACATTCTTGGGAGGAGAGGAGAAGGTGGAGAGAGAGACTTTTGAGTCGAAAAAATAAAGAAAGAATTAATATAGAGAAACGATCTACATCAGACCTAGGCAATACGTTTCCAAACCAAAAACAACAGAAACTTATGTTACAACCCCACACCATAGAGAAGCAACAGATTTCTCCCCACCAAGTTTTAGCAAAAGTTTTACAGCACTTGCAACACAAACAGGTCATGTAAATGTCAAAGGTTAAAAATATGTTACTAGTACTAGAAAGAAACATCCAAAGAAAACAAGGAAAAATAAGGAGGATAGATGTTTGATAGGAAAGAAAAAGCAAATCACACCAGGGCATCCACCAACCACCCGTGCATACATACACACCTTTATATGGTCACAGAAATCATGCATAATTAGAGCATACATTGCATAAAGACTATTAGAGATATATAATTTATAACAGTGTTTTTCTAGAGCATCCAATCCTCGTGAATATCGCCAGATGAGATTCACTTGTGAAAATTTTACAAGACAGAGTGTTAAAAACTTGACTTTTGAAAACTTATGTTGAGTTTTCCAAGAAGCTTTTACAAGATTATGCAGATATTCTTAAAAAGAGACGCTCGCCAAAATTCTCAAAATGTATGCCACTTCTTTTAATTTTTGCAAACACAAGAAATGGCTGAGGGGAAAAATAAAACAACCAAATATCTAAGTCTCATAGCAGTGTCTGATACACAGACCCAGTATACAGCCACATTTGTAAGCATTTCTCCAACTTGCAACTTTTTCCATAAAACAAAGAGAAACAATTTTCAATCTAGATGTTTTTAAGCCCCCATTGACCCTATATATGGATCATTTAGGACAAGGACAACCAATGCTGAGAGGGATACAACATTCCAGCAGAAAGACCGAGATGCTCAATAAGAATTTCTCCCTACTCGGGAATTGACCTACAGTCTTCTGTGCGCTACAGAGAAACGCCTATCCCCGCTGCATACACCATAGACACTACTTCTCCCCCCCCCAATCACTTCAACTCAAGTACAACAAAAGAATTATAACAAGTCACAATACAAAATAATTGAAAATCCCATATATGAGTATTTAAAAGCATACATTTCCCATAATTTGAAATAACACAAAATTAGCAAAAACAATTTGGCTTGCTTGAAACTAGGCATAAAACTAACACAACTTTCAGAATGTACAGAGGGAGCTATTGTGATGAAAGGAGCACAAAAGCAGAAGAAATGCTTTACATAAAACCATGTAAGGCTGGTATACAAATCATTTTATTTCTTCTGAAAAAAAAAAGAGTAATTTTTGTCTTAAAATTTTAACACCCTGGCTAACCTTATTGCACAGACAGTGCAATAACTTGGACCTGTATTATTCACCTCATGATTTTAACAACCTGGTTTGGTTTTCTTCAAAGTCAAAAGGGGGAAGATGCAAGAAAATGGTCATCTGTCAAAGTGACTGCAGCGGCACAGGCTATAAGTTCTGAGATCATACAATCAAACCTACTGTAACCACTACCTGCTCAAGACAATCATCACCTGTACAATCCAACACGTCCCTCTTCCTTGCTTGCATTTTGTCTATATATTATAACAACCCTGTCCAGGACGTTCACTTGTCTTTTAGTCTAAATTAAGTAAGAGTTCTCCTGAACTTGCAGCACAAACAGGTCATATAAATGCCGAAGGTTAAAGGTGTGACAAGGGAGGGTCTAAGACAACCACTTTCTCCTTG